CCCCAAAACCCCAAAACCCCAAAACCCCAAAACCCCATATATAAAAATTAGCTAGCTTTAAAGATGAATTATGAAAAAGTATTAAATATAGATTATATAGTTTTTTTATTCTCACTTTCTTACCTCGCGACATCCTGTGCAAATTTTATGCTAAATAAGATTTGTTGCACCACATCTAGCTCTCGGACATTACCAATAATTAGATTGATAAGAACTTCTATTTGTATTAAATGTTGAGCTTTTATGCTTTTATAATTTTTCTTAGCAATAAAGACAGTTACCATCCTAAACTGCTTAATTATGTAAGCAAGTCCTGCATTTTTTACTTTAATTAGAGGGGCAATTTTTGAAAACACATATTAATTCTTATTGAGAATAAGATAGTTATTTGCAAATGGCGCAATAAACATACTGATAATTTGAAATAGGCTAGTTCTGCTTAGATTTTGAGATTGAGGTTGATTGATAATTTGGTTTTTCTTCGTTTTACTTTAAATGATTAATATCATTGTTACAATTGAAGCAGATATTTCTGTAGTAGCTCATTTTATTCTAATTGCATTTATAGCAGTACTTTACTCTTGTGACAGAACAGTTTCTGCACCTATCGCCATAGACACTGTATGCCAATACCTTACAGCCTACACATTAAACTATATCATTTGCTGAGTATTATTAATTTTAGTTTATATTTTATTTTTGAAGTTACTTCATAGCATCATTTTAATAATCTTCTCTATTTCTTTCATTTTTTAATGAATTCTTTTATGAATCTTGAAAGTTCTTTTGAGATTTATAATATTGCTCTTAAAATTCCAAATTTTATCTTACTACTGAGCTTTTATTTTTTTGAATCAAATCATAAAGAACAAGATTCTTGTATTAACATTCTAGTTATTTTAAGTAATAATAAATTCTTACTTTAGCATAATGCTGATTAAATATCATCTAAATCAACAATGTTCTTCTTTCTACATTAGGCACAGTCCCATGTTTCAACATTTATCTAAATTTATTAGCAAATTAAAGAATACCTAAGGATTATTTATTTTGACTACTATTTTACCATCCTATTTACTTTCATTTATACTTTCCCTTAATTTATCATCTCCTCTGGGTTAGTTTACTTTTTATAACAAACTATTTTCATTCTAAATTTATGCTTTGTTCTAAGCCTCTCTAATGTCTACTTTAATTTCTACATTATTGATTTACTAATTTTGCTAGTCATCATCAGGCACTACTTCTTCTTCAACTAGAATTTTGTCAAGATCTTAGTCGTCTGGAAGATCTTATAGACTTATTCTGCAGAGTTTGCATTTTTATTCAAGCAAATACTTATTTCTGCATCTTGGGCATATCCATTTTGTAACAAATTACTTTTGAATTTATTTTTACTCTTCAGGTTCTTACTTAACAATTTCTTGAACTTTTTAACTGAACTATTCATTTTAAGCTGTTAACTAAGATGTAATATTTCTTGAATCTTTTGAAACAGTTGTAGCAAGATCATCATCAGTTTTAATCGAATTTAGACTTTGCAAATCACAGATCTTGCCCTAAATAGTTTAAGACAGAGTAAGTAGCTTCTCATTAATTTTGCTTTCATCTGCTTTTAGAATTTCAATAGATGTATCAAGGTAGAGATTTGGTTCTTGGCAGTTGATGCACTTGCTTTAATGTATCATCATAAGGTGTCTACATTTATGGCACTCATGAATAAATACATCATATTTTGAGTACTTTTTCTTCAACTAATCAAGCTTTTATATGACTGTTCCTTAAACTTAGCTCTATGTTTCAATGTAGGAATTATAATTCTACTGCATTTCATTGAAATCAGGAATGGATCCAGATGATTCTTCCTTTTTAATGACAATTTAATTTTCATCGCTGCTATTGTTTTTCTCAAGATTCAAAAACATCTCCTCTTATTCCTTAATGAATTGTGAATCATCCATCATTCCTGCCAGACACGAGTCTTAATCCATAGCTTTAAATTGCAACTCCTCAATTTACGATCTTTTTATAATTAAATCATCATAACCTGGAGTGTTCATCATATAACCTTGTTACTCATATATGATTAGTGTAGGGATACATTTGCTCTCTAAACAGAAGTTTATTACATCATACCATTCATCAAAATCCTTAATCAATAGATCATTGAAGAGTTTCCAGGAACCAGATGAGATTTTAGTGTTTTCTATTTGTTATCTAATAAAAACCAAATAATGAGCTCCAAGGAAGCAAGTAAATGCTTTCAGACTGTAAGCTTTTTAGTCAATTGAGAGATCATTGCTTGGTATTTTGTAAAGATGATTAAGTTTAACTCTATCGTCAAGAGTCAAGAAAACTTGTAATAAATCAACACTTTTAGCTTCATCAGCCTGCCAGTTGAAATTAAGAACGAGGGTTTTAGGATAGGGTGCTTCAATCGTCTAAAAATATGTTGATTCTTTAAACACGCATGTCTTCTTGTCACAGTTATAGTTTATATTCTCGATCTTTATTAAATCTTGTATTTTCATTTGATCATAAGGGTTCTAGTTAATCTTTTCCAAATATTCGAACATATTGATTACTTAGACGAAATTGTTATTGTATTTATCGAAAGCTTTCTTATTGCCGCATTTACAATTTAGGTGTTCTTGAGATCTTATACAGAAATTTTGATGAATTATGCAGCTAGAGATACACTGTAGATCTAGTTCATCGTCAAAGCTCTTACAAACTCTCCTTTAGTTAGGATCTACATATGCCAAATGAATTATTCGAAGAAGACATAATAAAGCTTCGGAAGAATCACCTTTCTAATTTACCTCGAACAATTACTCTTCATAGAATAGTTTGAATAGTTCTCTTCGCATGCAGTTTATACTGAAAGAGTCTGTTGACTAGTCTTCTTATAGCTATCTGAAAAGTGCTTGAAGTTCTTAGAGAAACTTATATTCTCTGAAATCTTTTAGATGATTTAATTCTACTTTTGAGAAGTCAATGAGTGCTTTTCTGACAGAATCTAAATGCCATAAAACTTAGACAACCACATTCATATAACAGTTGTACTGCCCATCTTCGTTCTTAAGGCCAAAAATTCTAGCTCCACTTGAATCAATTTTGGCCCTTTAGAGCTTTTGCTTTGAAGCAGATATTGGAGAAGATCTTTATTACAATTGTTACATTTAACTAAATAGTATTTAAAAACAAATTATATTACTTGTGAGGTCTTCCTAACGAGGCATTTTACTGGCTTAATTAGTTGAAAAAGTTATCTTAGGCTGATGCAAGATACTGCTGATTCTTATAACAATCATGAGGTCTTGATTATGATATAATCTCATTGCAGGTTTTGCAAATAGATTGCATTTCTTATTAGTTAAATTTAATAAAGATTTCTAATTAATTTCAATTATTTCATCAATATCAAATTTAGCGGGGTTTTGGGGTTTTGGGGTTTTGGGG